TATTGGTTTACATATTCAACAAATAATTAAATAAAAAATACACTGCTCTGAAAATGCAAACAATTATGTATGTTGTTTTGGAATTTTTTTTTTCTTTTATAAATTTCTGTTTCTTAGACAGACCAAAGCAAAATACTCCCATATTACAAAGTGTAAGGAAATAAGATGCATGCATTCCAAAATCTATTTCACACAAAACTTAAGAAGGAAGATGTGCCTCTGTATCCATCCCAGTTTATGACATTAACCCTTAGCAAGTCCAGTGCAACCTCTGGCCTTTAGAAAACATCAAGTTAATACACCTTTGTATAATTTAATGTCAATAGAAATCCAGCTGTTCTGTGAAGGTCTAAGAGGTTTTTTAGGGATCATTATTGAAGAAACAGCATCACAAGGACAAGGGACCTTAACAGTCAGGGCAAAGTTATGTAGAAAATATCAACAGAATTAAGTTATAAAACAACTTCCCAAACTTTTAAACATCATCACGATGCTTAAATGCTCAATGTATCATTTAACAATGTAACAAGTACGACTAGTGAAACAGGGCAATTTCCGAAAACTGACAAAATATATGGTGAAGCAGTAAAGAGGAAGAGTTGCAGAACTGCATAGGTGGGAAATCTGCAGACAACGCCAGTATTAGATGTGCACAAATATGGCCCTACTCTTGAACAAGGGCCGTATTAGTTGTGTACATCACAAATATGGCCCCTGTCAGATAGCAGAAAAGAAACAGTGAGAAGTTAGCTCCTCCATTTTCTTAGCAATTCAGGGGACAGCAAAGACGTTAAAGATATCGCTCTTTAGGTGAGACCAATTATGGTCTGTAAGCAGAACAAACTACATAAGCCACTACTGCTAGTAAATATTGTGGTGGAAAAATCATGCAGCAGTTTTTCTTTTGTTCTGCAGGAAACTCACTTAGAGACCCCAAAAAGCCTTAAGGCTGGAGCAAAGGTTCATTCTGCTGGCAGGAAAACTACCCTAAACATATTAGTTATTTTCATTGTTGTACAGCACTTCGGGCAACCATCTATACAAAGCAACATGGCACTGAATGGTGATGATAATGATAAATGATAAGGGCTGTCCAGTGATACGGTGGGTAGCCTTGTTGCCTTGCAGCAGGTTTCGATTCTGGGTTTGATTCCTGACCCATGATCTTTCTGCATAGAGTTTGCATGTTCTCCCTTAGCATGCGTGGGTTTTCTCTGGGTACTCCGGCTTCCTCACACAGTCTCAAAGCATGACTGTTGGGTTAATTGGCTTTCCTTAAATTGTCTTACTTGTGATTGTGTGTGTGTGTGTGCATGGTTGTGTGTCTCTCTGTTGCCCTGCAACAGACTGGCGACCTGTCCGAGATGTACCCCGCCTCTCGCCCATAGACTGCCGGAGATAGGCACCGGCTCCACCGCCACCCTGACAACAACTAGGCGGGAGAACATGAATGGATGGATGATTATTATTTGTAGTCAAATCATCAGAAAGGGATCACCTGTTTATTATTATCCACTTAAACAGTCACAATGGCAGATATCTTCAAGTGTTTATTTCTTAAATCATTCTGGATTCAAGTACATTTTAGAGTAAATCTGTTCTGACATAAAATCAAGTGACCAGAATATGTAAATTAAGAACTATCGGCAATACGGATCTCCGCCATAGTCTCTGTCTTTTTTAACCTTTCTGTTTGTGCATTCACGATACCCAGAGTCTGGCAGAAGACATTTTCAACATCTCACTGTATGATTTGATAAATATTTTCATACATGTGTGCATAAAGTCATTAAGCAATACCAATCCTATTGCAGAAGGTAACATTTTGTTAAGGGGAAAATTAAAAAGGGATTCCAAACCAACTCCTGACATTTACCCTTTACTGAAAAGCTTTTTACCAAAGTAGTATTGAGGTCACGACCACAAATTGGTGCACAAAGTAAACAAGTATAAGTAAACACAACCATGATAAGAAGAAAAAATGTACACATCATCAAAAATTTTCTGCATGATAAGTGGGTCTGCGAATGCTTTCATTGACGAACACATTCCCGCTAATTACAAATAAAGTGCACTCAGGTATGCACACACACATAGCATGCAAATAAAGACCAATAATTAAAACCCTGTAATTAATTTATTGAGCTGAAGGTGCAGCTTTTCTTTTTGAGGCTCATCAATGATTTTTATCAGAATGACACCTGTCTTGTGTGCGTCTACTCTGTGTGGTTTTGCAAACAAGTCTTGAACGCAGTATGGGATAAACCAAACCAAACTCTCAGGGTATTGGCTTGTTATGTCTTTCTTATATTCTGCTTATATATAGAAAATTCCCATACATGAGGCTTTACAAGAGCACACCTTTCTGTGTGTATGTGTGCCTCTCCCTCTCCCTGCCTCGCCAGCCTGTCTGCGCCGTTCAGCCATCCAATGCCTCTTATCTGCCTGATTAATAGGCGGCCGGCTTCAGGACAAATTAATTAACAGATAACACCATCTCTCCCTTCTTCTCTTCCACCCTTCCTCCACCCCTTCTCATGAAGCGATCGATACAGCAGAAGAAAAGAAACATCAATGGGAATTTAGTGCTGATGATGGAGAGAGAGGGGTATTGATGGAGGGAGAGAAAGTATAAGAGAGAGAGAGATGGAGGAGAGAAGAGAGCAAAAAGGGAGAAAGGTGGTAGGAGGAGAGCTGATGGTGGAGGTGGGAGGGGTGGAGACCTTTCTTTCATACCTGTGATTTCAATTGACAAGAGAAGGTTCCCTATTTGGCTCTAATTACATTTCCTTTCTGCCCATTGTTGATAAGGCATCTCATACTGAGTAAGGAGGTGTGAGCGGGTTTTAAGAACATGTGCTGCGAGTTGCTTTGAAGTTATGTTGGCTTAGAGGTATATGTGGAGCGAAGCAGCTTTACATATTTGCTCAGAAACTTGAACATCTAGCAGGCAATTATCTATAGTCTATATATAAGTTCTATCAGTGAGAATAATTGTACAGTAAAACTTGTTTGTTTTATGCCAATTTTGTAGTTTAGTGGGTGCGTTTGGGGTTTTTTGTGTGTGTGTGACTGTGTGTGCATGTGCCGTACGTAGTCTGACAGAAAGAGGCTACAGTGCAGTCATGCAAACTTAACCTCCGCTTCTTGCTCTTGTGCTCTCTTTCTCTTTTCTTTTCACTTTTCTCCACCAGATAGCCACATCAAAACAAACATGCGCACACACACAAAGAAACACACGTCGATTCCCCAGCCACCCTGCGGCCTGTTTGTCTGCCAAATGAGTCCTGACTGCACGTTTACACCGGAGACCTCACAACCGCCTGCCGCAGACGCACACACACCTACAGGATAGCCCTCTCTCACGCTCCAGTTGCCTCACAGATACACACAAGCACCCATATCTCGGAGCCCTATATTTGTTTTTGTGTGGTTACAGGGCAAATAGGAACCAGTGAGAAGCGATTGAAGCTTATGAGCGCATAAGTGCGATTTAGTGTATGTGTGATCATGCCATGCTTGTGTGTGCGATAGCTGTTGCATCAGCAAA